CATCTCAGACACCTGCACTCAGGCCTGTGGTCCTGATCATCCTCTATTCGGAACTGCTGGGTAAAGCCACGAGGAACCCGAGAACGGGTTCCCACAGTGGTACAAGCTTATCCCAGCAGTGGAAAGGCAGAAAGAGATGGATCCCTGGGGCTCACCAACCAGCCAGCCCAGCAGAACCTGTGAGCTCCAGACCAATGAGAGATACTGTCTCATCATCATCATATAGTAATAATAATAATAATAGTAATAATAATAATGTGGATGGTGCGTGGAGATTGACGCCCAAGATCAACATGCACCCAAGCAATCAAGAGGCTGAGGCAGAAGGATAGCTGCAATTATAGTCGCCAGCTTGAGTGACATAATTAGTTCAGAGCCAACCTAGACTACAGCATGAGACGCCAAAGACAACCACCCCCCAAAAAAATATTGAGAAACCACCCAGAAACATCAGTGAACACTGCACAGCCCCGCACTCCGTGGCTAGTGCCCTCAGTAGACACACCCTTTCCAACCCTGGTCCCCAAGTCACAGGCAACACACAGGGTCAACACACAGCTCAACACAGAGATCAACACACCTTGTTATCCCAGCTGGATGGGTATACTTTCTGGATGCACGTCTCTGTGTATATATACTTGTGCATATGGACATGTGTGCATGTGTCTGCATGGATGTGTGTGTGCATGTGTATTTATGTGTATACCTGTGCATGTGTGCGTATGTGTACGTGTGTGTGTGTGTGTGTGTGCTTGTGTGCAAACACAGAAACATCTCAAAAGCCACCACAGAAATCCTCAAGGCTTTTGTGAGAATGTGTTTTAAATAGGCAGAAATAAACCGAGGAAAAAATTTCCTCTGTTCTTTCCACAATTTGTCATCTGCTCGCTCACCCCAGCTGAAAAGCTCTGCTCAAGATTGGGAGCTATAGAGAGCCCCTTACAGCCACTTCTGGGAAATACTTCGGCTCTCCATCATTCTCCTGGAAAAGCTCCCTTTGCAGTGGAAATCCTGCTACTCAGGCATGTTTAAAGATGTCACACAGACAGAAAGCAGAGTAGACAGGGACCTGGGGCGGTTCTGTTAGGAGAACTCATGCCTGGTGCACACAAAGCCTGGGTTCAACTCCCAGCACAACGTAAACCAAGCGGAGACAGGAGGATCAGGAGTTAGAGCTATCCTCTGCTACATGGTGCCTTTAAGGCCAACCTGGGCTACACAGGATTTTTTGGCTCTTTTGGAGGGCCCGCCACCCAGCTCCCAAATAAATCATATACAGAGGCTTATTCTTAATTATGAATGCTTGGCTTAGTTTCTAGCCAGCTTTTCTTAAATTATCCCATCTATCTTTTGTCTCTGGGCTTTTCCCGTTCTCTAACTTCTGTAAATCTTATTCTTACTCCGTGGCTTGTTGTGTAGCTGGGTGGCTGGGTGGCTGGGTGGCTGGCCCCTGATGTCCTCCTCCTTTTCTGACTCCTAGATCTTCGATCCCGTCTAGATTTCTCCCTCTATATATCTTCTCTGCCTGCCAGCCCTGCCTATCCTTTCTACTGCCTCGCTATTGACCAGTTCTTTTTTAGACCATCAGGTGTTTTACACAGGCACAGTAACACAGCTTCGCAGAGTTAAACAAATGCAACATAAACAAAAGTAACACACCTTAAAATCATATTCTACAACAGGATCCTGTGCCCAAAACGTAGGAGAGGAAAAACAAACAGGCCCTTGTAAATTTTGCCAGTGGTTCCCATGTGGAGGTAAGTTTTTTGTTTTTTGTTTTCTGAAGCTGAGGACTGAAGCCAGGGCCTTGCTCTTGCTAGGCAAGCACTCTACCACTGAGCTAAATCCCCAACCCCCCTGGAGGGGGGTTTCAAAGAATGTTGAACTCTAGAAGCAACTGGCCGGGCAGAGCAGTGAGGACACAGAGGTAGGAAGGCCCGAGCTTATGGCTTCCTCTGTGATCACTCACACATCTTTCACTGCTCTGTCTTTAAGCCAAGATGCCCTTTCAATGGAGTACCCTGGGGTTAGATATCCAGCATGATGCCACATGGCACAGAGGGAACCAGGTGACATGTGTGCATTTAAATTCAAATCCAGTGTCACTTAAAATTCTGCTTATTCACTGCATTTATAACATGTCACATGTTTAAGAGATACAGGTGCCTGGTAACTACTGTCCTGGATAACAAGGCAAGTTTCCACACCGTAGAGGTTTCTAACACACAGCACAGGTACGTTCATCATTTCCACATATGTTATAGAAGAGCTTCCATTATCCTGATTTCCTTTTACTAACGACCTCAGCAAGTGTCAGGCTTTAGGAATGGGTTTTCAAAGGTCTTTAAAAACCTCTCCAACACAAGGCACCTTTGACCATGCCAATCCCGTAGGAAGGGACATTCCAGGCTTGAACAGAAAATGAACTTGAGTCTGAAGTAGGAGAGGTAAACACTGAGGACCTGTGCATCCACGACTATTTCTTGGGATGCTTTTTAACTGCGAAAGAACTGTCAGGTGTGCACTGTAGACTGGCCCTCCATTGGCCAGCAAAGGGAAGCTGGACTAGATGCAATCAGAAGTGATAGAGTACTATAGGAATTCAGGCAAGAAATGCTTGGGGCTGGAGCAAGAGCTCTGTAGCAGGAATCTTAAAAGTTCTTATTAATAAAATCAAACCCGAGGC